TACTTACCAAGACCCTGTCTCAACATCTCTTTTCCCAGAAAAGTTTACCTTCATGGTCATTTTCATTTTGAGGAACAGCTGAAGTCATACCATGTCAGATCCAGTGACAGAGGTAGATGAGGATACACTGTTATGTTTTTATGAGCCTGTCTTTCCATTGGGTGGTACTTAGTAGCAGCATTCTCCATAGTTTTGATCACACCTTGTAAAGATGCTCTTGAAAGCGGACTTTCAGAAAGTGGCAGAAATGATGGGATAAGTATGTTTAAAGTGAGAGAAGTTAATAACAATGTGTCTTTTACTATAATAAATGTTTTAAAGTTCAAATCATTCATTGTATTTTCTGATCATCCCTTAAATATGTTTATATTTTTAAAAATTTTTTATGTGCATTAAAAAATATAAATATATATAAATGGACTAATGCTTTTTGTGATAAGGCTCTATAGGAGATTCGTTCCAAGACCCCAGTAGATGACAGAAACCCCAGCTTGCACAGAGCATTTACACGTTTTTCCCTGTGCATAGACATTTATGATAGTTTAATTAGAAATCAGTGGAGTAAGAGATTAACAACAGTAACTAATAAGAATATGGAACAATTATAACAATGTTAAAGTTGTATTAGTTTGGTCTATAAAATATGAAAATTTCACAGTATTTCCAGACGTGTTGACTATTGATATCTGAAACCACAAAAAGCAAAACTGTGGAGAAACGAGACATACAGTAGTCTGAATTTAAAGTTACTGGCCCATTTTCTGCCTGTGAGATTTTTAAAAGAGAAAAAGCACAGTCTGTGATGGGCCTATAAGAGAATAGGCAGTGTCATACATTGCTGCCTAATCTTCATTGGTAAACTTTCAAATGTGAAGTTTTATAGAGCAAAGGACTTTCTAAATAATCATATTTTTGGTCTAGTTAATTGGTCCCTATAAGAATTTAAGCCCAGGGGCTGGGGATTTAGCTCAGTGGCATAAGTGCCTGCCTTGCAAGCATGCAGTCGTGAGTTCAATCCCCGGTACCAATAAAAGAAAAAAAAAAATTTAAGCCTAGTGAAATATGCTTACTGTTGTAAAATAGTTAATGGAAGACAAATACAAAAGAGAAAATATAGCACAACAATACATACTCAGGCTGGTACAGTAGTGGACGTCTTTAATTCTAGCTGCCTAGGAGGTTGAGGTAGGAGGATCATAAATTCAAGTGCAGGCTGGGCAACTTAGTAGTTTACTGAGACAGTGCTCAGTATTTTAAAAAAAGAAAAAAGTACTGGAGATAACAGTTAATATAATAGCCTTCGATTCACTCCCCACTATCATAAAAATGTATGTACATACACACAACAGACATAATTCTGTTTCAGGGAAGACTAAAATATTAACAGTATTTATCTGAGTGGTGGAAAAATGGGTGACTCAAGTTTTTAAAACATTTTGCTCCATTTTAAGTGTTCTGAAATAAACATGACTTTTTTTTTTTTTTTTGGTACTGGGGATTGAACTCATGATTGTGCTTGCAAGGCAGGTGCTTATGCCGCTGAGCTAAATCCCCAGCCCAAACATTACTTTTAGAATCTGAAAATAGGTTGTTTAAAAACAAAAATAAAGATAGTAGTTCTTAATAGGGAAGGAAAGGATGAATACTTCAATTTTTAGAAACCAAGATGAATCATTTTTACTTTCTGCACCATAAACTGAAAGCCTTGTAGATCCAGGACCTTGTTCCAGCCTTGGTATTTTTTTTGGGGGGGGGTGCGGCTCCTGGAAGCTGTGGCGGGGTTATAGTGTACATTCGTGACCCCACCCTACCCCCAATACTGGGATTGAACCCTGGGCCTGCACACCGAGCTATATTCCTGGTCTTTTTTCAAAATTTTTGAAACAGTGTCTCACTAAATGCTTAGTTACCTAGGCTAGGCACAAACTTGCCATCCTTTGCCTCAGCCTCCCAGAGTGCGAATGCTGGGATTACAGGTGTGTGTCACTATGCCCAGCTGAGCCGTCTGTCATTCCAGTTCAGTAAGGTCAGTGTCCCAACAAATTAATTCTGTATAATTATATGGGGTAATGATCACTGTTATTCCGGAATCTGCATCCAGCTCCTCAACTCTGTAACAGGTTTGATGGGGGCGGGCAGCAATTGTCACCTGGATATTAGTAGTTGCTATCTCTAGAAGCAATTCCAGAACTGTTCCACTGAGAAATATGTATGCTTCCTCCAAAGCGTGCCTGCTCCTTGCCCCCTATCATTTATTACGTTAGAGAAATTGGTCTTATTCCTGTAAGGAATTGCTATAAACCATACACCAAGAACATTTTAAAGTAACCCTTATCCCATTAAAGAGACCCAGCCACCTCTGAATATGAATTTATAGCAGGTTTCAATTCAGGGCATCACTAATATGCAGTATTTTGTTGGTTGAATCCATTTGATTGTTAGAGCTACCTTTCTTCTCTGTCTTTCAGATATGCCATCACAGAAACTGATAGACCTATCTTTCATTGCAACATTATCTATTTAGTCTTCACAGATATTCTGGTGTTTGCCTTTTAAACGTCCTTATCATTAATATGATATTAGCAAAAAAGGTTATGGACAAGTCTCTTTCCTCCTTGAAAGCAATATTAAAGCAGTTATTAATGTTTGAAGACTCTATGTTGTCTTTTGATAAAGCACTGGCTTAGTGAAGCATGCCTTATACTATCAATTTTATTCACAGAGACAAACTTCACACAAACCCTATTTGGAAAGAAAGACCCAGGATTAATGATGGTGGCATGCAGTATAGACTGTATTCCGCCCATAGTCTTGGCCTACCACAGTTACACACAAGTTGTCTTGTTATATTCTCTAGCCTTTTTAAAATCGTAATTTATCTTGACACTTGTCTTTTATTTTTCGCCATTAAAAGCTCAGTTGAAATTGGGAATGGTGGGTCACGCCTGTTATCCATCTGCTCAGAGGCCTAAGGTAAAAGGATAACAACTTCAGGTCTACCCTGGGCAACTTGGTGAAACCGTGTCTCATAATAAAAAAGGACTGTGGACTTAGCTCAGTAGCAAGCAGAAAGCCCTGGATTCAGTACCCAGTACCACTACTAAAAAACAAAAATGTGTGTTGGGAGTGGTTTGGAGTGGGAACTCATGTCCCATGTCCCAGTTTATTCTGTGTAACTTTCCTACACCTAAACCTTTATTTCCCTACTGTAAGGTGCATCAGACTAGGATTCACTTTGCATTACCAACTCCATTTCAATTGCTGCATCTTTTTTGGTTCTTCTATGGGTTTGAGGTTGGTGGTAGGTTACAAGGGTGAATGGGGAATATAAAATATCTTTGTAGAGTTCTTTCTATAAAGATTTAAATTTTCTGATTGAACCACAGTTGGTGAGAGTATTGCCTTAGAGAATATTCTGTGCACCTACCAAGTATCTGGCTGTTGCATTCAGGCCTGAATCTTCTTTTTTTTTTGTTACTGGGGATCGAACTCATGACCTTGCATTTACCAGTCACTGAGCTAAATCCCCAGCCTCATTCAGGCCTGAATCTATACTATGAGTTTAGGTGTGTGTTGCTAACTTCACTTCTTGTTGCAGACAAAACTTACTTGGGGGCCCTACCTGTGGTTTTACGTGCTTCGGGCTGCCACATCAACCCTCTCAGGTATTGCTTTCTCTCTGAGCACTGTATAATTGCCATAGTAAGCTCAAAGAATAGAAGTATTGCCAGCTGGGCTGTTTCTAAACTGAAGGAAGAGCAGTAGGGCGTCACCTTGTTCTCAGCAGGTAACCAGCCTTGGAAGATATTAATCTAATGTGAACAAATATCCTGTACCTTTGGGTTGTGTGCTTTTTCTTGTTTTTTTTTTTTTTTTTTTTTGTATGGGATAATCCCATACAAAAAAATCCAAGTCCTTCACATATCCCCAGCCCATTTTTTATTTTGAGACAGGGTCTGGCAAAATTGAGGTTGGGCTTGAATTTGTGATCCTCCTGACTCAAGCCTCTTAATGCTGGGATTACAGGTATCTGTCATCACACCTGGCTTTTGCTTGTATTTTTTTGTTTGCTTTTTTGAAAACACTAAAAATAGTAATATTAACCTAGATAGGTTTTTTTAAAGTTTTTTTTCTTTTTTGAGACAGGATTCTCACTATGTAGCTCAGCCTAGCCTTGAACTCATGGCAGTTTTTGCTTCAGTCTTCCAAGTTCTGGGACTACAGGTGTGTACCACCATGCCCAGCTGGATTTTCATATTTCTGTATATATATATATATCATTACTGGAGAATTGAACTCAGATTCCAGAGCATGCTAGGCAAGTGCTGTATCACTGAGCTGTACTCCCAGCCTCATTTCTTAAACTGAGATATAAATAAGTCAAATTTGAAGAATATGTATTACCAACATATAACTTAATCATTTTAAATAAATGTTTAAACATAAAACTTTCTGGGCGCTCCCAATTTTAATTGTTGAAAACTTCCCTCCACATTTTTTAGGGCATACTGTGCCTAGTAATTGATTGTGTAACTATTTAATGCGCACTCACTATGTACTGGGCAGTGTGGTGTGGAAAGAGATGGGCTCCAGATTCAGACCTCTTATTTGAATTTTAGACCTGCTGCATTAACCTCGCTAAGCCAACCTTTCACAGCGACAGCTACATGCTAGGCACTTAGTGTTACAGCATCTGTACTTTACATCCATCCAGGCTACTGATACCCCAGCCTTCTGAAGTCACATGTTTTTCTTCAACAGTCATGAAACCAATAATTGCAGCACTTAGTGAGAACTGTTACAATAGAAATGTGAACAGACTGCTGTTGGGTACACAGAAGGAGCCACTAATACTCTTTTAGGGATTCAGAAGAGGGGTGCTGGGTTTTTATAATCTCTTTGAGGATAGGAATAGTAACTTGTATTCCTAAGTGTTTCACATATAGAAAGTGCTCAAGAAATGTTTATGGAATTGTGTCTTTTAACATTTTTATCTTTAGTGTGTGACTTTCTTGGAGAGAAGATTGCATCTGTTTTGGGGATCAGCACTCCTAAATACCAATATGCCATTGATGAATATTACCGGATGAAGAAGGAGGTGTGTCTCCTTTTTATATGTTTTTGATTCAATTGTTGGCTGTGATGGATTGGATAATGAGCATATGTATCTTTTAGCTGCCCAGAAGTTGGTGGGGATCAAACTCAAATGTCTTGAAGATGCCAGGCAAGCCCTCTACCACTGGAGATAGCTTATCAAATTAATATATATTTTAGATTATTTAAAACTAGAATTTCTGGGGAGAGGGTAAAAAAATTAAGATACCTTGGGTATATGCCCCAGTTTCCCACAATGAATGTAATCATCATGTGCATAAACATTTACTAGTAACTTAAAACTGCAATTTCCCCAAATCCACATATACTACTAAGCTCAGTTTTGTTCTGTTAGTGCAGTGTGAGGTGCCTTGCATGTGTTAATCTTCATACTTTCCCTTTGGATTGTTTTTCTAAGAGAAGAAACAAGATCAAGACACTATGTGGAAGTGGAGTGGGTTTGATGTGCAGGTGGTTTATAAGACACATACACATGCCCAGTGTTAAGAGAACAAAGATGGGAGAGGATTGTTACTGTCCAGAGCAGCAGTGAAGCCTTTGGATAGGGTGAAAGTAGGGGAGACTCAGAAAAAGACAGCTTTAGTGCTTAAAAGGGGCTGGCTTCAGTCTGGCTCTGCTACTTCTAACTCCATTTTTCCATCAAAGAACTGCAGTATCTATGTTGGGGTTACTCTAAAGACTAAATGAGTTAATATATAAAAATGATTGAACACATTAGAATATCAAGTGTGTATCAGTGATCACACATTATAAATTAGAATCTTTTCTTTCAGACAGATTAAGGGCAGCAGTTTATGCAGTGTAAGGAGGTGAAACTATGTTGTCTGTTCAGGAAAATAGCAAGAATAGCATTTTGTCCTTCTAGGTGTGGCTGGAGATATGTGGAAAAGTCATCTGACTTCATTTGTTGTGTGATTTCAAACATGTTTTATGACAAAATTAGTATTTTTAACACCACAAGCCTTGTTTGGGACTTTACTACTTGTGGACTATTTTAATAGCTTCCTAAATATTCTGTCTTAGTTCTCTAGCAAACCCCAGATGAGTTTCCTGAGAGGAGAAAAGACTATCTACATTGTAGGGTTACTGGCAATTTATTAGTTCTAAAACTAGAAATTATTTCTTCTAACTCTCTTTAGTGTTTCTTTTTGTCTTACTATTGTTCATGTCTGAATTAGCCTACTGGATTGTGAACTTAAGGGCAAAGATTGCCCTAAATGGGAAGTACATTAGGTGTTTTTAGGAAAAGTCACCATTTAATGAATGAAAGAACTTGTTCAGTCAGATAAGACTGACACCTTGTAATTTAAGTGATATAGTAATAGCTCATTTTAAAATTGAGTTTAGGCTTAATGTGAAAAAATAGTCTAAGTTAATTCAGGACTCATCATGTTGGACTATGTTTAAAGATCACTTTCTTTGATGTTTTAAAATAGGGTTTTGATGTTTTATTCAGAGAACAGTGGAAAGAAATGTATTAATTTAAATCAAATGAGGCCAGGTGTGGTACACATCTGTATTGCCAGCACTAAGGAGGCTCAGATAGGAGAAACTGTCTCAAAAAACCAACAACAGTAATTAGGCTGAATAGACATTGCACTATTGTTTTCATTTAAAAAAAATGAAAAGCTGCCAAGTGGGATAAATATTTATGACTTAATCACGCTAATTTAAATATAGGGTTAAGCTTAGAACTGTTCAACTTCCATTTTAACTGCTTCAGTGCTTGTTACTTTCTACTTTTTATTAGGGCAAATTATGAATAGTAACTAGATACTAATTTTTTTTGGAGGGTCTCACTATGTAGTTCAGGCTGGCCTCAAACTCAAGACGACCCTTGTGCCTCAACCTCCCAAGTGCTGGGATCACAGGTGTGCACTACTTTGCCTGGCTTAGTATTTCAACTATTGATGTTTGCATTTTTTAGGAAGAAGAAGAAGAAGAAGAAAACAGGATGTCTGAAGAAGCAGAAAGACAGTTCCAGCAGAGTATGCCGCAGGCTAATTCCATTGTTCAGATGGATCAGCCAGATACAGTGGTATCCACTTCATTTGTGAATCTTAATTTTGAAATGGAGGAAGACTGTGAAGCAACTGCAGAATGCAAACAAAATTCAGGCTCTGTCCCACCATAGAATGGAACGACTACGTTTTGAATGCTAATTTGGGGGGGGTGGGTGCCAGGAACTTTCACATTCCCTATTCAGTCAAATTTAAAACAATTATTTATATTTTAAATATTAACTTATCTGGAAAGGAAAAAATGTTTCTTTATTCTTAGGCTTTATTTTGTAAAAGTCAGATCTAATCTTTGGATATTTCTACTCTGCTTTCACTGTGTGATGAGTTAGTGCTTTAGCTGTTCTTTTTTGGGGGGTAGTGCTGGGGATCAAACCCAGGGCATGTTAGCAAGCATTGTACCCCTGAGCTACACCCTCAGCCCAGTGTTTTGGTTTTAAAATGATCCTTAAAAAAAAATTAAAGCCTTAATAAATTAAGAAGAATTAAATTAGCAAGCTTGTCTGTTATTTGTAGATTTATGAAAGAGAAAATTATTGAATAAGGTTAACTGGAGTCAGTAATCCTACAATTTCAAATTAAAATGACTATTTCCGGGGCTGGGGGTTTAGCTCAGCGGCATAAGCACCTGCCTTGTAAGCAAATGTTCGTGAGTTCGGTCCCCGGCACCGATAAAAAATGAAAAAGACAAAAAAAAAATTGAATAAAAAAAAAAAAAAATAAAAAAATAAAAAAAATAAAATGACTATTTCCCCCCTTGGACTTTCCTATGTTATGCCTTGTATTATAAGTTTTACATTTAATATGTCTGTTAATTTTACACTGATGATGGTTCACAGAATGTGTAATAAAATAAGCACAATGGAAGCACTTTTTGAATTCACTGAGAACAACTTTTATGGAGAAGTGTTTATTACACTAATATTAATATGGGTTTCCATTTTTTAATATGTCACTTAATCTTATTTTTTAGTAGTTATTAAAATAAGCTTTGATCTTAAAGTTAACACTAGATATGAAATAAGTTAATATGTAACACCTGATTATCCACAAGGCATCCTATTTATGTCACTCATTCAGCCCTTAATGCCTCCCAGAGTGTGTGTGTGGGTTGGGGAGGAAGCTGGGAGACAAATATAAATTTAAACCATCAAGAGCTGTTAAACTTAGTACAAGGAATAATGGTAATGTAAATTTAGTTACGTGTTACTCATTTTGAAGTGGCAACAGTAAGGACAGTTTTCTTAAACCAGATTGGCCAGTTCTCTGCCTATTAGGTTATTTGAAAATTTTACAAATTTATATATTATGAAGCTAATTATAAAAATATTCATAAATATGTGTACAGAACCTTGAGATATTTACAATTAAACATGGATAAAAAGAATGTGTGGAATACTTTAGAAATACTGATCTTAAAAGCCTTCTCATAGGACTGGAGACGTAGCTCAGTGATGCAGCCCTTGTCTAGCACAAATGGCTCGAGGTTCACCCCTAGTATTAAAACAGACCCAAATCAAAGCAACATGTAAGAGCTTTTAGAAATTATGTTAACAGAGGATGGGGAAAAAAAAAAAAAAGAAATTATGTTAACAGTCTTCTAAACAACGCTTAAGCTTTTAATCATAAATAAACTTATGTAAAATACATCTTAAAAAGACTCAAAATATAGAATGGGCCTATTATGAATCCTACTGTCAATAAACATGAATTAAAGTTTTTAAACTGAAGCTGAAGTTTTTCTGCTGACAGCTGAAAGATGAAATTGAAATTTGAGGAACTGAGAAAAGATAAACTCTTTAGAGTCTTTAGTAATATGGATTCATGCTATGATGGTTCATACTATGTGATGATCATCTCTTTATTCATAGGTATAAATTATAACTTAATGCTTAACAATCTTGAGATAATGTCACCATAAATTGTACTTTATTAACAGCTCTAAAGCATGCTAGCTCAACTTCTTCCAATTTTGTTTTGTTTTGTTCCTTTTTTTTGAGACAGGGTTTTGCTATGGAGATCAGGCTGGCTTAAACTCACTTTGTAGCCCAGTCTGGCCTTGAACTCATAGTGTTCCTCCTGCCTCAGCCTCCCAAGTGCTGGGATTAGAGGCAAGCACCACCACTCCTGGCTCCAGTTTGTTTTTAACTTTGAGATGGCACCTTTAACTGAGCTATTTAGTATTAACTAGAGGTACTACTAAGAGTTTACTTAGAAAATCTTCTGAGTGTAGAAAACAGTGACTTATAAAGGTTATATATTTTTTGAATTTTCAGCACTTGTCCCATAGTAGACACTTTGAAATGTTTACATAGTTATTCATTGTGCCTTAAATTTTATATTTGTTTATGCAAGCTATAAAATTTCTAAACGCATTAAATGGTTTGTGTTATTTTGAGCCTGTTTTAACCCTTTCCTACTTTCCAAACCTTTGAAGAATTATTCCCTCTGAATCAGTTCATGACACTGCTTTCTTCTCATCTCAAACTGAGCACAACAGTTAGTATAATTTAAGAGCCTTTGGGACTGGGGTGTAGCTAAGCGGCCTAACCCCCTGCTTGGCAAACACAAGGTCGTGAGTTCGATCCCTGGCACCCAAAAAAAAAAAAAAAAAAAAAAAAAAAAAAATTAAGAGCCTTTACCCTGAATTTAAAAATTCTCTAACAAAAATCCTCAACACATGGACATTTAATTTTATAAATATAATCCTGACACTGGTTGGTAAAGTTAGAAAACATTTTCATACTAGGAATTAACTGAATGGCTGTCAAAAATATGCCATGAAAACTTCCTTTATCTGTAAAGATTATACAGATTAAAACTGAACCCTTTCTACCTTCAGCAAACCACATTTGTCATATTTAGCAAAAAGAAACAGAACTTACCCCCACCAAAAACAAAGCTTGGTTTTACTGCTCCCAAACTATTGCAACCAAAATTGCAATAATCACAGTATTTTCTGTGTTCTATAGGCATATGAAGTGTTTTATTTAGACCATTTCTAAGGATTGTGCTTCAGAGGTTTCATTACAGCATTCAAGCATCTTAATGAAGACAGTCTAGTCTTTTAGAGATCATGTATCATCAAGGTCAGCAGAGTTCTCATTGTCATTTGCTACAAGGGCTTCTCTGTTCTCATAAGTCCAGAAACCATTCAGATCAATTAGAATGGTAGTGACTGTGTCTCCTTGATTACTGTTGATTAAATCCTGAAGAGAAATTTTCAAAGGATCCTTTGGTTTAACCATGTCAAAGATTTCATCCTACAAGAGAGAAAAAAATAATAATTCTGATTCACTTAATTTCTATTACAGTGATCTAAAATCTCCTTTTCTCTACTTACAACCAGTGTTTTACTGGGAGATTTCCTGACTATGCCTTACTTTACAGATGAAGCAAATGGGGGCTCAGAATTTAATCCAAGGAACATTACTAATTAGTGGTTGAACTATCTAACGCAGTGTTCTCTAAGTGTATATTAACTCTTTATATTTTCCTGTTGTTTTTTTAATTGATGGCAGAACAACATTTTTATTTAATTCTTTTGCCCCAGTTTTGACATCAAACCCAGGAGCCTCATGCGCTAGGCAAACACTACTCCTGAGCTACATCCTTGCCCTTGAGTTTAATTTTTAAGCTGAAACTTGGCTTAGGTAAAGTAAAAATTTAAATATTTCAGAGATAGTGATGAAATATTTCCAGTATGAAATCAACTTTTTATTCTAGACCAAGGAGGTGATGGTACTATTAAAAAAATGTGAAATTCACGAGTCTGTCTTGCTGGGTCCTGGTGACTGAAGCCCGGGCTTCTCACTGAGCTGCACCCCTGGCTCTGCTTGCCAGCTTCCCACAGTGCTGGGATGACAGGAATGTGCCTGTCAACTCTTCTGCAGTATAAAGTGTATGAAGAAATATTTCCAAGGAATTAACTCACTTCTCATTTTTTTTGTAGTAAAAGTACTCAAGAATGGTCAGCAGCATTTACAAAGGCAAAACACATTTTTAAAACATTAAAATAATTCAGGATACATAAGATGCAGAAATTTTTAATCTTGTATGTTTGCTCTTTCTAGACTGGTTGTAGTTTACAATTACTGACTGAATTGCCCAGTGCAAAGTTTCAGATCTTCATTTATATTAAACTAAAATAACTTTCTTTTAAACTGATAGGATATTTTTTTTTTTTTTTTTTTGCTGGTACCAGGGATCGAACTCACGACCGCCTGCTTGCAAGGCAGGTGCTTATGCCACTGAGCTAAATCCCCAGCCCAAACTGATAGGTTATTATACTCAACTTGAACCAAACAAATTCTGTATGTACTGGACATTTTCATAATTACTGAGGCTGATGGGCTGGTGATTTAGCTCAGCGGTATAAGCGCCTGCCTTGCAAGCACATGGTCGTGAGTTTAATCCCTGGTACTGGTAAAAAACAAAACAAACTACTGAGGCTGATTACCAAAAATGCTAAGTAGCAGCATAAATAGTGGTGGTTTTCAATTGTAGGACTGTTGATATTGAAGCAAACAGGTTCTTTGAGGTACCATACTAAAAAAGTTCTTGAACCTAAGTAGTTTCCAAGTTAAAAACTCAAGTTTTCAGTGGAATAGACCATCAAAGAATGCAAGCTAACCTGATTCTCTTAGCTTTCATTTAAAATGAATGCTTCCATAAGACTGACAATGTTAAAATTATAAGCTATATAAATTAATCATAAGTTCAAATGTGTCTCATTAAATAGCAGTTCAGAAGAAGTAACAGTAAATCCCTGACTGGGAATAGTACTGTAAACTTTGTATGTTGCTTTCGTGTAAAATTTCATGTAATACAAGAGATTATCTAGCATTATTGTGGTAATAGTGTGTGGTTATTATATATAAATTAAAGGAAAGGTCACCTTAACATCTTGAAATGAAACAGGATCTTGGCCATGGATTTTCATTAATTCCTGTATTGCCTGTGTATAGTGGAATTAGATTGTTAAATAAAAAGTGATACTGACAGTATCCCCACTCCTGTCCCATAGCCCCCTTCTAGTTCCATTTCTTTCCTGTTAGACCACGAGCCTCATCATCGCGATCTCTCCTGCTATCTTAACTTCTTTGGCCTTGTTCTGCATCCAGGCAGCAAAATCATACAGTGGCATAGTGTGACTACTGATCTCTGTGTACCTGCCCTTCAGCTATAGAAAACTTTAAGAAAATGAGGTCACAGATTGTTGCTACTATCCAGGAATATTCTCTAAACTAGCAATTATTCTACGGCCTGCTCCTCTACTTTCTATGAATATTGTTCATACCTTCTCCATTCTCTAAAAGATCCCCTATCTACCACCTCCCTGCCCACCTTACACCTTCTACTTAGAAAAATATGGACTTCTCTCAAACTCTTTTTTTATGAACTTCAACAACAAGAGACCAAAAGAAACTACTGTTACTCAGTTGGACTAAAATACTTTAGATGAGAGTCACATTTCCTGAGAAATGTGAAGCTTAAAACTCCTGATAGTCAACTAAATATGCTCCAAATACCCAATCTGTGAGGTGCCACAGATAGCCCTGTATCCCCAGGGAATCCTAAAGGAGGCAGAATTGCTGGGTACCTTCTAACACAGTAGTGGACAGACCTGAGGTACATTGTAGGGTCACCTTCTGGGCCAGTTCTAATGCTGGGGTACTGACTCTACAGCAGCTCTACAGGTAGCTCTACAGGTAGCTCAGGATTACAGAGCTCAGCACCATAAACTTTTTACCTTAGCCCATAAAGTTAGGGTAAAAAAACTTTTGATAAAAAAAGCTAAATATACTTTGGTTAAAAAAAGTCATTCATGAAATATTTTTAAACTATTTTTTACACAAAATTTAACATTC